CGCGCGCGCGCGCGCGCGCGCGCGCGCGCGCGCGCGCGCGCGCGCGCGCGCGCGCGCGCGCGCGCGCGCGCGCGCGCGCGCGCGCGCGCGCGCGCGCGCGCGCGCGCGCGCGCGCGCGCGCGCGCGCGCGCGCGCGCGCGCGCGCGCGCGCGCGCGCGCGCGCGCGCGCGCGTGTGTGTGTGTGTGTGTGTGTGTGTGTGTGTGTGGTGTTTTAGGAGATTACAGCCATTCACTGCAACACCATTTATAATTGACAAAGCTCCTCCCTGGGCTTCTGCTGCCATAGAAAGAGTAGTATTGGGTACCACAGGGCCTGATGGAGATAAAGGAGGATAGGGCTGGACACTGTGGGATATTTAATCTTGACCTCAGCCTTGCCCAGATTGCTGATCCCAGCTGACCCAGGCCACAAAGCTGTTGTCCCCACACCCTCCATTAAAGAGACAGCAGCTGTGCTGGACATGCTGGGCAAAAAATGAGGTCAGATTTTGTCAAAGCCAGTGCGATTCACAAGCGAATTCAACTGGCTAGATTCCCAGCAACCGTGGAGTCAGTCGCATTTCTGAAATTACAGATAGGAACTGACCTGCTGGGAAGAGAATTTGGGATACATTGTGAACTTCAAAAAGTTTCTGCCTGGAAACTGGAGAGGTAACCATGGCAACCAGGAGGCAGGTTGAACTCTGAGGAGGGCTCTTCATCTTCAGCAGGGAGCTGTGTGCTCTCAGATCTGCCTGTCTGTGTGTTGTGCATCATTCCCTTTGTCTCTGCTTGCTTTGTCGAATAGAACATGCTAGCTCAGGAATCTGGAGACAGCCTCGGCTTCAGCTATTTCCAGTCTGGATTCATTTAATGAAGGGCACCTCGGCACTGCTATTTTGTTGCCTACAAAATGGAAATTAAAAGCCTCCTGTGGCCTATTCATGGGGATGCAAAATGGACAGGGAAGTTTGGAAGGAGCCTGGGGAAATCAGTATCATTGTCACGAGGTTATGTGTGGGCTGATCAAATACGGGCAGGAGTACAGGTGAGACTAGAGCTTGATCCATCCATAACCTCTCTGTTTTCCCTTTGTCACATGGAGAATGGCTGTGCCATGGATAACACCTTCACTTATGCCTGGCAGCTGTGTGATAAAAGTGTGCCTGTGGGCATGAGGACCACCAAGAGAAACAAAGCCCTCAGCTAGCTGAGCACCTCTACCTCAGAAAGAGGAGGTGCTTCTGGACGGCTGGATGGTGGGTTACACCATGTGGACTGAAGACTTGAGACACCCAGCTGCTCTATAAGGCATCCTCCCAGGCTGCCTACATACTTCGGCCCTGCACTGGCCTAGCCCTAGGGCTGTGAGGTAGGAAGCCCTCAAGAGCTGAGATTGGTAAGATGAGCATGTGGATGTATTGTTGGCTGCAACCCAGATAGAAGTCCGATGAGAAGGGGTGCCGGGTCCTATCTGCCTTGGCTCTCCATGGAGTATGTGGGAGTTTGGGAAAGGCTTCAAACAGTCTGGAGTACACTATGTTGGCTAACTAGGTCACCCCTTACAGGGCCTGGCTCAAGAAGGGGGTCTTTTTGACCAATTGTCCCATGTTGTGTCTAACCTTGGACTCTACCATCTTTTTTTTTTTTTTTTAAAGATTTTTATTTATTATGTCTTTTGCTTGCATACTAGCAGAGGGCACCAGGTCTCATTCAAGGTGGTTGTGAGCCACCATGTGGTTGCTGGGAACTGAACTCAGGACCTCTGGAAGAAGAGTCAGTGCTCTTAACTACTGAGCCATCTCTCCAGTCCCGGACTCTACCATCTTAACCCCCTCAACAACTACTAGCTCATAGGCCTCTCCTCCCGCTCCCCCGCCCCTTCACTTATTTTTCAGCCTTCTAGTTGACCTCTTTCAGGTCAGAGCATCTCCTTTGCCTCTTCGCCTATTTTTCTCCTTATCCTTCTGCTGGGGAGCAAACCCAAGGTCTGGCATATGCTAGGCAAGTGCTCCACCACCCAGGTGCATCTCCAGGGTTCTTCCTTCCTTCCTTGGTCTTTTACATCATGTAGCACAGAGCAGGCCTTGCTGAAGAACTGTAACTCTGGAGAAGACCCCATGAGATGGAAATCTGTATTCCCAAAAGCACAAAACATCATTTTCTTTATTCTCCAGAATTCTGGCCTAAGTAAAACTGAAATGCAACATAGAGTGCACAGCAGCATCCAATAAATGGTTGATGTTAGGGCTTGATATTTGGCTTCAGAACTAGACACCTGTAAAGATCTAATACAACCCTAGAGCATCCTTGAAGACCCTCCAGGGGCTTCTCCTGAAATGGCATGACGCAGCTTCTCTCTCTGTTCAGCCTCACTGCTTTTCTTCCCTCTCTGAGAACTCTGCCTGCTGCAGAATGTTTCCTGGGGAAGTCCAGCCAACAGAAGCCCTCTTGATTCCCCACAACACCTCATGAACTAACTATAGTGCTGTCTAAACCCTGGACACAAAGAAATGGAAGCATTTGGAAAGATGAAGTTTGCCTAAGGTCTCTCTTCAGTATATGGGAGAACCAGGATTTGAAACTCCACAAATATCTACCCTTAACCTCACCTGCTGCCTCTTAGTTGCAATCTCAGAGGGAACTGAGGGACAACAGGGAAGATCGTAGTGCCTCTCTGGGGGGATGAGGAGCAGCACCTATCAATTTCCACTAGCTCAGAGATGGGACACTGAACTCCCAAGTTGTTTAGCCTCAGGAACATTCATCAGTTACAGAGCTGTTTCTGAATTCAAGTCTGAATTTAGGCACTAATATTTACCCTATAACTATAGAACTCAGAGCCATTAAACCTTTTTAGCATGGGTGCAAAGGTTGCTGCAATAATTGTGTTAAGTAAATGTTTCCCGCGTGCCTGCTGTTTCCTCATCTTGGCCAAATCACCAGTTTTCCTGTTTTCTTTTCAGGGGAGGTAGAGGGATGGGGGAATGGGGGGAGTGGGGAGGTGGGAGGTGGGCGGTGGGCGGTGGGCGGGGGGGGGTGGGGGGGGGGGGGGGGGGGGTGGCGGCGTGGCGGGGGGGGGGGGGGCGGGGGGGGGGGGGGGGGGGGGGG